CCAATTTACATACCTGGCTGGAGCAGTTGAGCCCAGCTCACACTGTCAGTCGGTGCTCAGCGTGCTTAAGCTTTCGTTCTGCTTAAGCTGCACCGACGACGTATTGCGACAGTGCAAAACATCTATCACTGACAACTGTTGCGTATACGTAAACGAAAGGACCAAGTCCTCTGAATATTGAATATTACCAGCTAATGGTGGCATGAATAGGTTATCAAACGTCTGAGCAACACTATGCCTAATCCAGAAAAAACTTCCTGATTGTTCATCTGTTCTCTGTTGCGCATCATCGTCCATAAAGAAATTGATGAACAAAAGGAAATAAATTTTCCTTAGTATGACTGGGATTGAAGCCCGGCCTCACGACACAAATATGAGTGTCCTAACTCCCAGGCTAAGCACCCATGCTTGCAAAGAATACATATGAACCGTATTAATTAGTTCCACATGCGCTCGTGGTGTACGAACACTTAAGCCATGTTGCTGCAAAGTAGATGGCGCTATATGCGCGCATGCGTAACCGCCTACTGTTAGAAATAGCTTTTATTTATGCTTGCACTGAGTCGCGCCCGATTGTACTTGATATCGTTTCACAGTGGCTATAAGAACGATAGCCGCCTCAAATAAAACGTCTTGTTCAAGAAGCATTCGTCTGATGTACTTCTTGGATGCTGTGCACTCCCCCCGCCAACACAATGTAGCACATGCACACGGGGAATTCAAGGCAAGGCTATGGTGACATTGAACCGCCTACTGTTGGAAATAGCGTTTATTTATGCTTGCACTGAGTCGCGCCCGATTGTACTTGATATCGTTTCACAGTGGCTATAAGAACTATAGCCGCCTCAAATAAAACGTCTTGTTCAAGAAGCATTCGTCTGATGTACTTCTTGGATGCTGTGCACTCCCCCCGCCATCACAATGTAGCACATGCACACGGGGAATTCAAGGCAAGGCTATGGTGACATTGAACCGCCTACTGTTGGAAATAGCGTTTATTTATGCTTGCACTGAGTCGCGCCCGATTGTACTTGATATCGTTTCACAGTGGCTATAAAAACTATAGCCGCCTCAAATAAAACGTCTTGTTCAAGAAGCATTCGTCTGATGTACTTCTTGGATGCTGTGCACTCCCCCCGCCATCACAATGTAGCACATGCAGCACGGGGAATTCAAGGCAAGGCTATGGTGACATTGAACCGCCTACTGTTGGAAATAGCGTTTATTTATGCTTGCACTGAGTCGCGCCCGATTGTACTTGATATCGTTTCACAGTGGCTATAAGAACGATAGCCGCCTCAAATAAAACGTCTTGTTCAAGAAGCATTCGTCTGATGTACTTCTTGGATGCTGTGCACTCCCCCCGCCATCACAATGTAGCACATGCACACGGGGAATTCAGGCAAGGCTATGGTGACAATTGAACCGCCTACTGTTGGAAATAGCGTTTTTTATGCTTGCACTGAGTCGCGCCGATTGTACTTGATATCGGTTCACAGTGGCTATAAGAACTATAGCCGCCTCAAATAAAACGTCTTGTTCAAGAAGCATTCGTCTGATGTACTTCTTGGATGCTGTGCACTCCCCCCGCCATCACAATGTAGCACATGCACACGGGGAATTCAAGGCAAGGCTATGGTGACATTGAACCGCCTACTGTTGGAAATAGCGTTTATTTATGCTTGCCTGAGTCCGCGCCCGATTGTACTTGATATCGTTTCACAGTGGCTATAAGAACGATAGCCGCCTCAATAAAACGTCTTGTTTCAAGAAGCATTCGTCCTGATGTACTTCTTGGATGCTGTGCACTCCCCCCGCCATCACAATGTAGCACATGCACACGGGGAATTCAAGGCAAGGCTATGGTGACATTGAACCGCCTACTGTTGGAAATAGCGTTTATTTATGCTTGCACTGAGTCGCGCCCGATTGTACTTGATATCGTTTTACAGTGGCTATAAGAACGATAGCCGCCTCAAATAAAACGTCTTGTTCAAGAAGCATTCGTCTGATGTACTTCTTGGATGCTGTGCACTCCCCCCGCCATCACAATGTAGCACATGCACACGGGAATTCAAGGCAAGGCTATGGTGACATTGAAACCGCCTACTGTTGGAAATAGCGTTTATTTATGCTTGCACTGAGTCGCGCCCGATTGTACTTGATATCGTTTCACAGTGGCTATAAGAACTATAGCCGCCTCAAATAAAACGTCTTGTTCAAGAAGCATTCGTCTGATGTATTTCTTGGATGCTGTGCACTCCCCCCCGCCATCACAATGTAGCACATGCACACGGGAATTCAAGGCAAGGCTATAGTGACATTGAACCGCCTACTGTTAGAAATAGCGTTTATATTTATGCTTGCACCGAGTCGCCCGATTGTACTTGATAATCGTTTCACAGTGGCTATAAGAACGATAGCAGCCTCAAATAAATCGTCTTGTTCAAGAAGCATTCGTCTGATGTACTTCTTGGATGCTGTGCACTCCCCCCGCCATCACAATGTAGCACATGCACACGGGGAATTCAAGGCAAGGCTATGGTGACATTGAACCGCCTACTGTTGGAAATAGCGTTTATTTATGCTTGCACTGAGTCGCGCCCGATTGTACTTGATATCGTTTCACAGTGGCTATAAGAACGATAGCCGCCTCAAATAAAACGTCTTGTTCAAGAAGCATTCGTCTGATGTATTTCTTGGATGCTGTGCACTCCCCCCGCCATCACAATGTAGCACATGCACACGGGGAATTCAAGGCAAGGCTATAGTGACATTGAACCGCCTACTGTTAGAAATAGCGTTTATTTATGCTTGCACCGAGTCGCGCCCGATTGTACTTGATATCGTTTCACAGTGGCTATAAGAACGATAGCAGCCTCAAATAAATCGTCTTGTTCAAGAAGCATTCGTCTGATGTATTTCTTGGATGCTGTGCACTCCCCCCGCCATCACAATGTAGCACATGCACACGGGGAATTCAAGGCAAGGCTATGGTGACATTGAACCGCCTACTGTTAGAAATAGCGTTTATTTATGCTTGCACTGAGTCGCGCCCGATTGTACTTGATATCGTTTCACAGTGGCTATAAGAACGATAGCAGCCTCAATAAATCGTCTTGTTCAAGAAGCATTCGTCTGATGTACTTCTTGGATGCTGTGCACTCCCCCCGCCATCACAATGTAGCACATGCACACGGGGAATTCAAGGCAAGGCTATGGTGACATTGAACCGCCTACTGTTAGAAATAGCGTTTATTTATGCTTGCACTGAGTCGCGCCCGATTGTACTTGATATCGTTTCACAGTGGCTATAAGAACGATAGCAGCCTCAAATAAATCGTCTTGTTCAAGAAGCATTCGTCTGATGTACTTCTTGGATGCTGTGCACTCTCCCCGTCATCACAATGTAGCACATGCACACGGGGAATTCAAGGCAAGGCTATGGTGACATCATAGAGGTTTGTAGTTGTGGAACAGAAGCCCTCTCTAGTACAACATGTTAAGACGACGTGGAAGATTGCTCGTGTAAAGATTCTGACAGCGTGAAACTTTGAGGGGGTCCTGCAGCACTTTATTCAGCACGGTCACAAAACGTTGCCGATTGGTAGTCAAGGCACCTGAAAACACGCGAGTTAAACATCATCAGTACGCGGAACTCGGCCTTGAACCCACAATAAACTCTCAAAGCTAGCTACAAATTGTTTCGTCTTGGTAAATGAAGCTTAAACTGAAATGACCATGCCATATTGCGATGGCTTTTGGATGATTTGAGCATCGTGACCTGCTAGTAACCACGGACGCCACGGGTGCCGCCACGTTTCCGCGTGCTCACGCTCGCGATTACACTGAACGTAAGCCACACGATCAAATAAAAAAGAAGAAAATGATTCTAAGTAACGACACGTGCTGAGCGCATCTTTCTGCCGACTTGTCATTCCCCTCCCTTACGTAGCTTTCTGCGCGCTCGCTTGTAAGAAGAAAAAAAAAGAGACAAAGCGTTTAAAGCTTGCAACAAATCTTTGCAACTCTCCTTGCACTTTAAAGACCCTAAATACTTGGACCATTTCTCCGAAGGGAACCCTGATGGGATGACGAGCAGCACCCGGTTATGTACGGGTTGAACGGTGCTAACGCGGGTGGTGTGGTTTGCGCTGGAAGATTCGTTTGAAGCGGTGGCTGGAGGAGGTCCTGTAGTTGACCTGTACAGACATGTTTCAACGCGTACTTTAGGCACTCATCAGGTTCATTGCGCGTGAACTGACGAGTCCGTGGTGTAGCAAAGCGGTGGTCGCGGCAGGTGTTGCAGGCGAACGGACGTGGCGGCGGCTGCGTGCGCCGCGGCCAGCGCATGGCCGGCGAGGGAGAGAGTGACGTGAACGCGCAGCAGCGGCTTGACCTACTTGGCACCGCGCCAACAATTTCGGCGCGTGGCGCGGTCGTGCGGAGGGACATTGTTACACACACTAGTCTAAGACTTGCTTCGTATCTAAAATGTTCGCAGCCGTTGATTCGTGAGGCATAAGCTTTTTTTTGTTTAAGTCATTTGGCGAACATATTATGAAACGTTGCAGGACCCTTCTAATACAAAACTAGCGCTTCGGTGGTTGCGGCGTATACGCCTTCTATAAGCCCGTTCCAGACGCTGGCAAACACTGGAAATGAGATCAATGTAATCCCCGTAACAATATGATGGTGATACCAGCCGATCACATCGTTTCAGTGATGTTTATAACTACGCAGTAAAACTCTGCACTTACACAGCACTTATACAGCGTCCAAAGGAAATTATAACCATATATATATAACCAAGGAATATATAACCATATATATCTACGAGCTAACTTCTGAAACCGGACGGTGCATGAATGTTTTACAGTGTTGTCAGCAAAGGGCAAATGATGCTATGGATAGACTGTTCCCCACTACAATACCAATGGGCAAAAAATACATCTTGAAACATCTTACTGAACCCTGAAAGCGCTCAACATTCGGTGCAGGACTGGCTCTGCAAAAGCGTGCTGTCGCTGAAGCTGTACGCGGCCATGGCGTCCATCAACTGGATGTTCGTCGAGGGTCTTCTGCTTCATTCTCGCATCGCCGTTTCCGTGTTCCAACAAGACGCACCCTTCAAGCTCTACTATCTCATCGGATGGGGTGAGTGTTAAAAAAACACTTTAGTAAGGCGGTGTCTGCATTTTAGTGTACACTTATCATGCGACTGGGAGCACTTTCTTGTTTTTCTTTTTTTTTCTTGGAACAGAAATTTTATGAATAGCATACAAAAATTGACGACTAATGAAAATATCCTGGTTCCACTATGGGGATTCACTTCTGCTGCATGGTTTATTCATCAAATATGAACTTCCGCAGATTATGACATTGAAAAAATTGGCGACGTTGTTGTTTCGTCGACCAGACTAAACGGACGTTTTAGTCAGGAAGAGAAATAATGTGTGACATTGTAAAGAGGGAACAAAAGCAGGAACATTCAGCTTGCCACCTTTCGCTGAGAGAAAAAAAAGGGAGAAAGAAAGATGTAAAAACAACAATGAAAATGGAACACACAAGAAAACCACACGTAGAGAGAAAGTGAAAAGAAAGGCAATGAGGTCAACAAGGTTGTACGTGGTTTGCTACCCTACTTGGGGAAGGTAGAGGGAACTGCAAAATAGTAGAGAACAGAAAAATAAGAGAGGACAACTAATGCACTCGCACGCTTAGCAGCGTTCTCCGCACACACTTAGAAAGTTTTCAAATGCGAATAATCGCAGAGTACAGTTTGGCTTCGAAAGTCTTATAAAATAGACTGTAACCCTTCATGTTAATGAAGGGTTGCAAGGACTGTCTTCAATTCTTTAATAAAACGGGGTGGTACAACAAAGCAGAATCCTAGAGACACTGTATATACAAAGAAAACTCTTGCTATCTTGGTAAGTAAAGAAGAGAGAAAGAGAGTGCCAACACTAGATTACTCAATTTTATTAGCATTACTCAACATTGCAATAGGATATGCGTCCGTCTACATAAAAAACAAGTGCATATGTCGCTCTCTCTCTCTCTCTCAGAGAGAGTCAGTCAGTCAGTCAGTCAGTCAGTCAGTCAGTCAGTCAGTCTGTCAGTCAGTCTGTCCGCCCGTCAGTCTGTCAGTCTGTCAGTCAGTCTGTCAGTCTGTCAGTCAGTCTGTCAGTCTGTCAGTCAGTCTGTCAGTCTGTCAGTCAGTCTGTCCGCCCGTCAGTCTGTCCGCCCGTCAGTCTGTCCGCCCGTCAGTCTGTCCGCCCGTCAGTCTGTCCGCCCGTCAGTCTGTCCGCCCGTCAGTCTGTCCGCCCGTCAGTCTGTCCGCCCGTCAGTCTGTCCGCCCGTCAGTCTGTCCGCCCGTCAGTCTGTCCGCCCGTCAGTCTGTCGGCCCGTCAGTCTGTGAGTCTGTCCGCCCGTCAGTCTGTCAGTCTGTCCGCCCGTAAGTCTGTCAGTCTGTCCGCCCGACAGACTGACAGACTGACAGACTGTCTGTGTCTGTCTGTCTGTGTCTGTCTGTCTGTGTCTGTCTGTCTGTGTCTGTCTGTCTGTGTCTGTCTGTCTGTCTGTCTGTCTGTCTGTCTGTCTGTCTGTCTGTCTGTCTGTCTGTCTGTCTGTGTCAGTCAGTGTCTGTGTCCGTCAGTGTCTGTCAGTCAGTGTCTCATTTTTATTCAATTTGTGTGAATGTAAATGCTTTCCGGACGGCTAAACACAAAGTGATTACCCGAACTTAAAATAAGATTACCACTCCGCAGCGTACATACGCCTCGCCGATGTATACAACGCCCATTACCTATAGGTCAGCACTTCTCTGCATGGTAAGCAGGGCATCTAAGTTTCGTGCGGGAGGAACATATTGCAGGCGAGGCGCATTCGCGATTCATTTCGAGGCAAATGACGCCCCCTGATCTCTTTATCCCGTGGTCAGCGGTTTTTCGCCACCACGAAGAACCAACACACACATTAGGGCAAGCAAACATTATTCTCGGGGAATACGGTACGGCAGGTTAAAACGATGCCGAAATTACCACGCAGGCTGCGTCCTCTTCGCAACACTCCTCTCTCCCCGGAGGGAATGCTTTGTCGATATTTTTTCGGCGCTAATGTAACGCACTATGCACGCTAATGCAGTCATTATGGTCGAGAGTCGCAGCCGTCAGCATTATTCGAGCAGCTGATGGGCGTGACACCAACCTACTGCTCTTTTTTTCTTTCCTCCTTAGTAGGATTACTTCTTCCGCAAGAGCAAGAAAGCAAAATAAAATAAATTTCATGCTAGCGTAAAGAAAGGCGACGGCAGGAGACTGCTGAGGCGACGCGATGTCACAGCAGCCACCTATTTTGAAGAGAACGAGGGCGAAATTCCCGCAGTATACTCATAAAAACAGCCAAGCAATAACAGCAGCGAGACAAGCTGTCTCACAGTGAACCCAATACTATAATGATGATGATTACTTTTGGTGCAAAATGTCATAGTCGAAATCATTTCTAGCATATATTTGTCATTTTAAACAAGGAGAACAGTTATGCTTGAATAAAATCAAATAGTAGTATTAATTTCAATCGTTGTCATAATCCTTATAACTTTGCTTCGTTTATCTATTTATTGACGCCCCCCTCATCAATGGACCTTGGTGACAATTACATAACTAGCAATTTTCGTTTTGAAGGATTTTAGACACTACATTTTGAACGCAGCTCACAGGAGAACACGATGGGACCGACGTTGAAAAGTTAGCGCTTGATATTTAAAAAAAGAAAAAATATGCATTACAAACTTCACCCGCAAGCTGGTTTGTTACACTACTACTACTGCTGCTGCTGCTACGACTACACAAGGCAGGCTTTAAAACAACTTCACTGTGAAAAGAAACTTTTTCGTGTTCTCATTTCATAAGAGTGTGTTTTAGGGATTATCTGCTAATGTTTAGCCGCATATTAAAAGTATGTAAAAAATAAGCTGTGGTCTTCCGAATCAAAAATACGATAAAATTATGAGGCCTTCCACAGGCGGTAAATTTGCACTGATTTTAACGTAAAATTACGTAATGTGATTTAAAATAATGTTGAATATAAAGGTATAAAAGTATTTCAGTATATTACAGTATAACGTCAAAGTATATAACCAAATAGTTTTTACCACCTGGGTTTTTTTAACGTGCACCCAAATCTAAAAGCACATTTTTTTAATTTTTTATTTCATTTCGGCTTCAACAAAAACACTGCCCTCGTGTCCGGGAGTCGATCCCAAGTTAACGAGCTTATAGCTGTGCCATACATTTATTATCCGATCTGCTACCACAGTGGGTATGCATACGAGATTTACGTGATAGATAGTCGTTACGTGATCATCTTACATCATGATGTCGAACATGACCTCACTACATAGTTACAAGGGTTTTTGAATCGTCGTATCTTAAACCGTATTTTATCCATCGTGGGCTCCCATAATTCTCTCGCATTTATAAAGAATACCCCCGTCAGTAGATTTTTTTTTTTCAAAAATCTGTTTTTAAGAATAATAATTTTTAATAAAAAAAAGATTTAGCGATTGCTCCCAACTACAGGGCTAGCGATGAGTGCTGGAATGGACATCCGACTTTTTTTGTTCCTCTGCACCTTTTTTAAGGGCACGGAAAAGGCGGACTTAATTACTAGAACAGTGTTTTACCATTGCGTGTGTGTGTTTTCTGCCATTGATTTCGTGCCTTTTTCATGTGTGAGAGCCTATATAGGCACACTACCTTGTAATTTTAATCCTCCATAGTGCATTCATAGTGAGATGTACTAATCGCGTTCTCTCTTGTTGCGCAGGCTTGCCAGCCCTGTGCGTTCTGGCTTGGAGCTTCGTCATGGAGTCCCGCATGCGGAGTCACTGTTGGCGCGGCTACGGGAACTCCGTCTTCGTCTGGATCATCAGCGGTCCCATGATGGTCGCCCTTCTGGTGAGCTTTACGTTTCTCATACACATTGTGTGCTTGAAATAACTGTTGGGGGGGTTGGGTCCGAAAAATTAACGGATGGCGCCACTGCCAGCAAAAAAAAAAAAAAAAACTCATAGGGTTCCTATATGCATTCGCCTTGAACGACTCGAAGTTTCTTCGCAGTCAACGCATTCATCTTTTTCCCGCCCCGCCACCCCCCATCCGAAATATTTCTACCCCGATCGTGGTTTAGCATGACCTCCAAGATCTGAGGCACTGAAGCTTTTTTGCACCTCCGCTGCTTTTACGTGGTCTCCGTGATCAGCCCACGTTTTACCCGCTAACAGTGTCATGGGATGACCTCATCTTGTGACGTCATATTACGTAACATCATGATGCAGTCATAATGGCGTCATGATGATGCTACCTATTGCGGTAATTATCATAAAGTTTCCTTTAAGTAGAGTAGGTAGAGAAGGGGGAACTGTGGAACTAGTGTCCATGAAAGCTGCAACGCACGGCGCTTCAGCGAGCATGGGTACACTCTATAGCATGGGAATGATGGTTAGTAAGCGGATTTGTCTAATCTTCGTACTTCTGGCTCCATTTGTGTTCGCGCGGCTTGGAGATGTTTTTTCACGAAATAAAAAAAACAGCGAATGTTCAGTGGTTGGGTTCCATCACCTTTAATCTTTTAGGCTTACTAGTTCAAATCGGGTCATAAAGACCAAAGGGATTCCTTGTTTCCTTCGAAACAAAACCAAAATAAAGACATAAACGAAGCCACAAGTGCGATTCGAGGCTCGCAAGTACAAGACTATAGGCAAATCCGTGTACTACTCATAATTTCCGTACTCGCTGAATGATCGCAGCGCCAGAGTTCCCTCTGGTTAGTTTTCAGAAAATCTATGATATGTGTGACTTCACGATGACGTAATACGGTGATGTTATCACGTGACGAAAGTTGTCTTTTTTTTGTATCATTCGTATTGACAATGCCGACGTGGGGTGCCGAGTCCGACGGGTGATTTTCCAGTTTGATGAGGGAACAAAGGCTTTCGCTTTAGAAGATATATACGAAAAAACAGTTGTCACAATGGACGATGATGTCTCAGGCACGCATTCTTTTCACATTTATTATAGAGGGATTGTATGCCAATAATTAGGCTATGTAAGTTGCGCATGTGCTCAGGAGAAGTTGGCGTTATCTGTGATGCCTGTGGATTTCTCTTTTTTAGGCATTAAAAAGATAGTCCGGCTCATAGCAAGAGGGCAGCTAGCTGAGATGGTTTGTTGGCTACATCACTACAAGCGGGACAAACAAGCGCTAGAAAGAAAAACAGATGAAAGAAAGAAGGAAAGAAAGAAAAGAAAGAAAAAAATTAAAGAAATAAAAAATAAAGAAAAAAATTAAAGAAATAAAAAATAAAGAAAAAGAGAAAGAAAGAAAAAGAGAAAAAAAGAAAAGAGAAAGAAAGAAAGAAAGAAAGAAAGAAAGAAAGAAAGAAAGAAAGAAAGAAAGAAAGAAAGAAAGAAAGAAAGAAAGAAAGAAAGAAAGAAAGAAAGAAAGAAAGAAACCGTGGATTCCTGAAATTCTTTCAACGGAACTCCCAATAGAACGCTGGAGCAGCATAGCCCGTTCTCGTGTTATTCGTATTGTTATTGCTCTCTGGCTCTGTTTGCTCACGCACTTTCAATCGGATTCACGTGCATGTTCTTCCGGGCCCGCATCACGTGTGCTAACCACGCCTGCTTTATTCTTTTTTACTCAGCCTCGCTCTTGGACAGGACAAAAAGAGATAAAAAGAAGACGATTGTGATGATTTGATTTGTGGGGTTTAACGTCCCAAAACCACCATATGATTATGAGAGACGCAATAAGACGAGTGTGGCCGAAGAGAATTATTTTCACTGCTACGAACAACATGTATTTTACTGCTCTCAGTGCTGACGAATCGTGCAAAGTCTTGACATGGCCAAATAAAACTTGCTCCAAACCACGTTACTTTGTTCGTCCAACCTGGCAGCTTTTTGTGCCAAAAAAACAGTGAAAAAAAAAGTGAGGAAGCTTTGCATTTTGTATAATTTTTCGAGATTTTCATCTTCCATTTGTTCTTCCGGAAGTCTATTCGCTGTATGTAATGGGAAATTTATTTGAGCTAATACGAGCAAAACGAAATGCGAGCTTCAGACGTTCTCGAAGCAAATATTTTGCGAGATTTCATGTGTGTGCCAACGCTGCTGACACGAACATGAAGCCAGCGACACCACCCTAACCTTAGCTTTTTGGAGACATTCAGTGTGAAACTCCTTTCCCAACAAAGTGAAAAAAATACTGTCGTGGGTAGATGCAGGCAAATACAAACGAAATAAATAAACAAACAGAAAACCACGAGTAGCTACAAATAGGCAGAGAAGACGAATAAACATCTAGGAACGAAAATTTGTTCACCTGCATCGCCATCAACCGTTCAAGTCGTTGCTGTGAAATTGATTCACCGACGCGGAACAGAGATCATTTTCTCAGAGGCGAGAATCGAAGAAACCCTGCTGACGCATCGAGTTAAAATGCCAGTAGCTGCTGCATGCAGGCACAAACATCGACGCAGGTCTTCAGAAACGGTGTACGAGTGTGTGCCGGCAGGTGACCACTCAAGCGCAGGTCGGCTGGTGGAATTGCTTTTGGTGTATAGACTGATCCGCGTTCAATTTGGCTGAGCAAGCGGAATGCAAATACACTCATGTCGCCCACATGGTCGTCCTAGTGAAAAAGGTGCTTCCGTAGGATTTATATATATCTGCACCTTGTGTTGCGATTCTTTCTTTCTTCTCCAGTGCGCACGTCGTGTCGTGCGAGCGCTGAAAACTCTGCTGCGCAGCGTTGTGTTTGGTCTCGACCCGAATACTCGAGATGACTGCCCACTCGAGCCCAGACGATCAATTTGAAAACACGAGCGCATCTGGAGTACTGTTACCAGCAGTGCGGTGACGCGTCGTCACTTGAACGAATTCCCTGAATTATCTTTGTTACGCGCTGGAATTGAAGGTGAAAGGAGAAGTGTCAGCTTAGGTCTCTAGTACCATCAGCCGCAGGTTAAAACTTGTTGCCAAGAACGACAAGACGAAACAATTAAGCGATGACTGCTAGAGATAATGCCATTGGAGTCCAAGAAGTGTGTAGGTACGAATCTCATAGGCATAATTTTATGGGATATTTATCAAACGCATTAGGTATTTTACAAACGTCTGTCCAGGTCTATCGTCACGTTTTTTTTTGTTTTTTATAGCAACGAGAACAGCACACGCCTGTATGTCCGAAGTTCAAATATAGATTGACGTAGAGAAAACTTAGTGTGACGTAGGGAAATCTTAGTGTGACATAGGGAAATCTTAGTGTGACACAGGGAAAACTTAGTGTGACACAGGGAAAACTTAGTGTGACATAGGGAAAACTTAGTTTGACATGGGGAAAACTTAAGGTGACATAGAGAAACTTAGTGTGGAATAGGAAAACTCTTAGGGAAAACTTAGTGCGAGTCCTGGTAAGGTAATAATCATGATCGTGCTTTCGAAGTGTAGAGGCGTTTAGGGGGCTGGGCTGTCGCATGCCATCGTATGTTGTCTTGTCTTCGCTTAACGCTGGCGAAACCACATGTAGCATGCCCAGCTGTAGCATATTGAGCACGCGCTCGCGCCAAACGGAAGTCTTCTTGTTTTTCGATCGCATTATGATGACATTACGTGTGGTCATTACTAGTGTTACTAGGAAAACACAACACAAACCACGTACAGAAATTAAAAGAGGAAGCAAGCGAGAAATAGAAACAGTGAAAAAGAAAAAAATCTGGAAAGGAAAATAGAAATCAATATATATAAAGAGAAAAAAACTGGAAGAGGGAACAAGAAAGAACCAGGAGGAGGACCGAAAAAACGAAACGCTCGAAAAGCGGCTTTTTGCAGCCTCTTTTAAAACACTGTGGGTAACTGCAACAAGTACACTTGCAGAGTACCCACTATACGCCATAAAAAATCATAATTTTTGTACAATATAGGCAAGCATTCATCCATCGTCATTCTTCGGAGAAGCATGCTATATCTGCTTGCTATAGGAACTTGGTGTAATTTTTGGTGCTGTGGCTAACGACGATTAAAGATTATGCCTGAAGCTTTTGTAATAAGTTGGTAACTATAGAAAAATATTGTAATACGAATAATTCTAAGTCATTCCGGAAATTCTACTTATTTCTCTTTTTTAATTTTTTTATCTCTCTCATTGCGTCAAGATTACCCTATTCGGTTAAAAACGAACAAAGTAATCACTTTTCCCGTTATCCTGCATAGTCCTTTATTGCTCACTTGCATTACCCGCCAGCTTCTTAGCTAATCCTCTTTATTGGGTAAGAGCCAGAACAGAGAAACAAGTAAACAAGCTTTCGGCAACCCACACGTGACTCAAATCGCATTGTGTGACGCCTGTGTATTTTTTTGCTATTCTAAAATACGTTACTACTCATATCAACGCAATTTCTTTACCGACATCAATCTTGTCTAAGGCCAGTTTGCCACGGAGTTTCAGAGCGCCGGCGTGGCTCTGTGCTAGAGTACTGGGCTGGCTCACAGGGGACTGATCGAGTTCCAATACCATTGTGTACTTAATGTTTTTGTTACCTTAATTGTTGTTTTTCTTTATTTCTTGCGATATTAGTTACGGGCACCGGCGGCGGCGGTGGACAACTACGGCGCACGTGACCCTTGTTGTAATTTTATAACAGCTTTCGCTGTAAAAAACCTAAAAAAAAACAAAGAATCCTGCCCATCTCCGCGCTACTTTCAGGCTTTGTGTGATGTGCCTTGCTGGCTTTTTGTTTTACTCTCTATTTCCGCATTTTTTTCTTTATATCCTTGTTTTGCATAACCTCTAGTTCTCAAGTTGGTCAGTCTCCTTCCGAAGGCAATCACTATACTATTTGTTTATCGCTTTTATTTGAGCTTTTATACGCCTACAAGAGCAATACGTATAG